CTCTCTCTCTCTCTCTCTCTCTCTCTCTCTCTCTCTCTCTCTCTCTCTCTCTCTTTGTGTAAAATAAATACAAAAGTTGAACACATGCTGTAGTATAAAATTGCGACTGCGCCCACCACAGATTATTCTCGGAAAAACGTTCATCCTTTGAAATTTTGGTTTTTTTTTTTTTGTAATTCCATGTACACTTCTGGAGTATATATCTATTCAACAAAAAACTGTCCTCCCTCTTTTTTGCATGCTTCTTCGAGCCCCACTGTGGTTTACAAAAACGAGGAACAATGTGAACGGTCTCGATGATGGTGTCAATTGTTATGACGCTACTGTGTTGATGACCGTTGACCTTCTCCCATTGCAACTTCTTACAACCTGTTGTGTGTTCCATTTCTCTATCTACCTCTTTGTACCACTGCACAAAACAACACATGTGCATCTCCGCAACACCCCCTGTGCAAGTATTCCTGACGGAAAACATGGCTACTGATGCATACCATATGTTGTCCTCTCACTGCAACATCGATGTGCACGGCTCTCTCATGAAACTGTGGTGAAGCTCTTGCCGTTTGAACGCTTGCGTCCCTGTGCGTCCCGTCGTATGTGCAGGCGATAGTCAAGTGTGTTCGAGTGTGTATCACTTGGTCATCAGATGGAGGTTGATAGCCGTTCTCTGTCATGAACGTCGTGAGTGCAGCTCGAAAATCGTCTCTGCAAGGAAGCTCGTTAAGTATTCCCAACGCTGCGTTGCTTATACCCTCCACCTCCGGCAAATGCACACCGTCCATCTGGAACCACCGGAGTTGTAGAGTTGTTGTGTCGCGCGCTGCGAGGGTATTAATTCCGGTGGCCATGCAGTCTGTCACGGATGACCAATTTTCTGCCGACCTCTTTCTTCGTTTTCTCACAATCTTCATCTCATCCTACAAAGCCAATAAGCGTCGGACATGATTCACCATCTGGGAAGCAGCCTTGCGTTTGTTCGATGTCAGATATGGCTGTTTGTAGAACCTCTGATGATGATGGTCCCACACATCAGCTGCGAAGGTGTCGGGGACACCGGATTGCTCTATGCATGTTCTCAGATGCATAAGGTCGTGCAACTTCGGAATTTTCCAATCCGAGGTTTGATATTTTTCCATCTTTGTTTTTATACTCGTTATGAAATCACTTATCAATGCGTCACATACATCGAGAGAAGTCGCAGTGTGGGTCGACTTATGAAACACGTGTATGTACATTTCCATGAGTTTGATGAAACAAGCGGAAATTGATTTGCCTGTCGCACGCGGGATGATATCACAAATAATCAACACGCAAACTGTCATAACAGACCGATTTTGCTTCGCTTCAAATCGTCCTTCCCTTGAAAAGAAATCACAACCTGTGGCCACGGGCAACACAAGCTGCGGGTATGTCCTCACACATCTCTCACTGATGCTGTGCAACCTCGCATCCATCTCGTGCAATATCTCGGTTTGCGCGATATCCGGCAACTTCTTAAAAGTCGCTGCCTTGAATGCATCTATCATATGCAAGAAAATGTCGTGTTCAATGGTGTGCATACGGTCCGGTTGCAAAGCGAGATAGTAATCTAGTTGAGGATCGTCACCATGTGGACCCCTGTAGAATCCCCAAAGGCCATTCTCTTGAACATGTTTATGCATGTTCAATTCTGACATTCGTGCCTCTGCGGCACGGCAATTATCGTTGTCCCCATTGTTGAAGCAGTTCGCAGCAAGTTGCGTCTCTAGCGTCTGCGATCTCCTGCAGTTGGTGAAATCGGCGATGACGTCAAAATCGTCTTTGGACACTGTGCATGTTGGACAAACACCGAATTTCACAGTTGCAAGGGCACACCTTTCAGGATAGTCCTGTATATAGTTCATGACGAAAGGGTGGACTGTTATTTCGCCGAACCTCTCCGTTGTAACTATCATGTCGTCATGGGATGCCTCCTTTGCGGACCGCAATACTATTAACAACGTTTTATGCAATATCACAGCTTTCCGTTTTCTAAACGCGGTGGAGTGCAGACCTCAGCCCTTGTCACGTGGCCGGTGTTGAAGCACAGGAAGATACGCAAGGAGTGTGGCGTCCGATGCGTGATCGGCTATTGACATCATCAGAGGATACACTGACTGCTTTTGACGACCGTCTACATGAGTCTTGTCTGAATACAGAGACAGAGGGATGACATAACGTGTTTTACCATTCGTGTCCACACCCTTGTCCGCTCTGATAACAATTTGGACATGGTGACTCAACTGGCCCGTGCGAGAGCCACATATGTTGATCCCCTCCCCGGGAGGTTCTATTTCGAGGCAAGAAACCGTTCCAACGTTCTGCAGTGCAGCACATACAAGGTCAGCGAACGTTGTGCGGCAGTCGCGGTACCACAAAATGGCGTGCGCTTCTTCTGGTCAATCATCACTGCGTAGATTGTTCTCTTGCTACCCTGCAGCCTTTGCCTGGCGGCTTGCCCATGTCAGACACTCACGACTGTTACGAAATGTGATATTTCTTGGGTCGAATCTAGGATTCTTGAGGAGTGACAACAGACAGTCAACGTCAGTTTGGGACATGCCCACACCGCCCCTACATGAAAAAATCAATGTCGCAAGTTTGCGGGAGCTGTCGAATGCCTCTGTGTGTTGTTCTTGCTGTTCTTCAGATGCGCAGTCTGCTTCTACATCGGGAGGGGGCTCAACCTCCTCGCTTTCCCCACTGACCAGATTGATGGGACCACTGTTTGACGGTCCACCGATAAAGTGATGTCACTTAAGACCTATCGTAGATGGAGGATGCACGTTCGGTGTGAAATTCATGAGTTCCTTTCACACTCCCTCCACCCCCGTCCCCCCTCTCCCTCCCGTCGACTCAACACCGTTGCTGTGCACTGCTGACAGATTCCAAAACAACGAAAACATTCCAAGCGGTATTAAAATCAAGAATTTTGGTGAATGTTTCGCTTTTTTTTTTTTTTTTTTACTTTGAGGCATGCCACATTTTTTTTCAAAGTGTCACATCC